AGCAGGGGTCCAATGTTGCCCCTGCTTTTCCTCCGGCTCCCCACATATCTGAAAAAGGACTTTTTATTGTCCTTGATGCTCGAAGCTAGTTGGAGTTCAGTTGGAGCCTTGGCTTTCAGAGGGAAAAGGTGTGTATATGTAAGAAAATACAATACTACATTAAAGCTGAGCAGGATTCATAGGTCTCCAGGGCCATGACAAAAATTACTTAATTCACAACATACTGTTCAGATATGTTATTTGCAATCTGAATGATGCAACATTTTGCTAACATAGGAATACTTGAAAATAAACTCAATGCATCTGTTTTCACTGTCCAAAACAGTAATGCATGAAAAAGTAAAGTACTTAAAATTTATCCAGCATGTATCCAGAGCTGCTGCTACATGGCTGGGCAGGGGCCAGAGTGGCCATGTACTCTGTGCCCAAGCAGGCCTGGAGCTGGAGCTATGGAGAATCGGCAACAGCAGCAGGAAAGAGAGAGGAGGGATGACAGGTAGTGGGAAAAGGAGGGCGGGGGGACAGTGGCTGTAGCTGCGGCTGCAATCTCAGGTTGGGGTCAGAGTCAAAGCAGCTGCTTGCTCCTCACCCACCACTTGTACTAAAATACAAGACTATGAACTTCTCCCAGCTCTATGCTAAATGCAGGGAGGGGGACCTCATCTTGGATTCAAATACATATGGTATTCCAGCTATGACTCATCACAGACTAAGAAAATACAGCCATGACTAAGGGCTTTTAGAAGCAAAGGCCAGCTTGCTTTAATATTAATGAAGTTAAAGGACCAGGAACAACAGCCTCAAGCTTCAGCAGGGGAGATTTAGGTTGCAGATTAGGAGGACCTTTCTGACTATGAAAGCATTGGAACAGGCTCCCTAGAGAAACTGTGGAATCTCCATCCTTGGAAGTTTTCAAGAGCCGGTTAAGCAGACGCTTGACTGGACAGTCTAGTCAGGAGCGATTCTGCCTTGAACAGGGGGCTGAACTGGATGATTGTGAGGTCCTGTCTAGCCCTACTTTCCTATGATCCTCAAGCATTCTAAACAAAAAGAATAATCAAAAAACTTAAATGTATGGCTTTGTAAAATTTTTCATGACATCACTTTAAATATCCTGCCTGATTTCTTTGGAATCTGTAAATGGTTATCCCTTAATCTAGGTTAATTCTACAAGCAGGTAGAAACATTGCTGCAGAATCAATGCTGTTATAGGATTTTCTTCTTGTGCCAATTAGCATCAAAGTGTAATATTACTCCAGGGGCAACAGAGTAATAAGGACAGCGTTTACATATTTTAAATGCTAATATTAAGAAAACTCTAAAAACAGCAATGGAAGCTCACTTCTATAACATGCTAATTTCTTTATAGATTTAGAAAGTAAATGGTCGCTTTAAAATTAAATTGAATTGTAGATAAAATGGACATAATGTTCAAGTTACTTTAGGATGTCCCTTTCCCTCATGTCTTATGCGAATTACCATTGTTAACAGCCTAATACAAGACAAAATTCATTTGACAGTTGTTAGCCAAGCCTGAATACTCATGTTTATAAATTCAGTCATCGACATTTTTAGGGTGTGAATAGAAAATAAATAAATAAGTGTACACTAAAAGTCCTGATCCCAATATATTCCATGTTCAGGACCAATGAAAGATAGCAAACAGAAAATCAGAGATACCTATTATTCCAGCTCTCAGGTTTGAATGGCCTTGAACTACTTATCTCAAACACTAGGTTCCTGCTTTATCTGCTCAATGGACAGATTTTATACAGTCAAAATCCTCATCTTACCTTACAACAGGGTCACTTTCCAGTAATTCAGTTAGTCGCTGTACATGCTCAGGTTGGATGGACCGTCCCAAAAGTGCTTCTGTGTTGGTGTAGATGAGAAATGCCGAAACAGCTCCTAACAAAGTTCCTATCCCTAGAGACCCCATGCTGTCATAGTAAGAATTGCCTAAACAAGACATACCCACAGTCAGACCTATCAAATATTTCTAAAAGCGTCAAAAACATAAATCCTAAATACTTAAAGGTATATAGCATTGGTACTCCTATTTCTCAGAGCACATGTTGGAAACCCTGCCCTTTATTTCTGACAGAAAAGACAAATGGAATCAATGCACACAGAATAAGCCTTACATGCCTCACTTTTCCCTACCATACAATTTACAAATTCATAGCCCATTTCACTGGGCACTCAGATTCCAGGGCATGGACATGACAAAAAAGTGCATCAGCACCAATCAAAATAACAAATCACTTTCCATGCTATTTTGAAGGTAAAGTTACTTTACTCATTAAAAGGACAGACACAGATTAATTAATTAATCAGTTTGATGCTGAAATGGGAGAAAAAATTATAAAAATAAAAGGTCATTTATTTATTTTTTTAAATCTTATTTTCCCTTAAAAATATGCAAGCAATAATATCATCGGACTGAAACAGTAATGTATTCTGGATAGTAATTTTAATGGGCATTTTAAAAAATTAAAACAAAAATTGTACATATTTTAATGTTATATTTTTATGAAGAGCACTATATAGTAAACTATTTCATGCATGAGTCGAAGAGAAAATAAAAAGAAAAAAGTTTTGAATAACTGAGTACACAACCAGCTCTAGAAAATTGTGTCCACTCGCAGGTAAAAGACACTGTCCCCTTTTTTCCAAGTTAGAAAGTCTGACATAGGAACTACAGCATAGTACCCTGAACATAACTAGCCTGTTACATAGCTTACCTCTAAAATTCTTTTGTGGAACAATTTTTAGGGTCACTTAATATGTTACTGTATACAGCATACTTATCTCCTGAATTTGGAGACTATTTGAGCAGCTGAGTATCTTTGGTACTAATTAAACTTCTGCCCTGATTCTCCAAAGCTGCTCTACTTTCTGGATGAAGAGAAAAGAATCTCGTCTTTAAATCCTGCCCTCATGTACAGTAGAGCAGCTAACAGTCCAACAAGGAGGCTGTGGGTACCACCCCAGTATGGGATTATACTTTCACACTGAAGTGGACGATTTACATATACAACCGATAGAAGCCTTTATCTTTTTTAACATAGATGCTCTTTCTTGAAAAAATATATTAGAACTTGTCTAATTTAAGCTAGGTAAAACGGTAGCAATATCTATCCTATAAAACATGCATTTTTGCAGTGCTATAGCTCCACCAGTAACAGGTTCTGTGGAGAAAGAGAGAGACTGTTCAACTATTTCCTAGTTTCAAGTACCTTAAACTGATTAGATTTAAAATCAGATTAATGATTAGTATAAACTGTGGAAACTTGCCACAATGAAGTCTCTCCAAGAGGCAGAGAGAGATTTTCATTAAATATACTGTTAAAAATTCAGATTCAACAGTTTTGACTGACACAGATTTTAATGTGAACTTTTTTACTGTAATATGAAATGCAACTGAATGATACCCGAGAAACAGTATTATTGAAGGAACTGGCTAAGAAGCAGAAATATGTATAATCTTGGTGGCAGTGCTTTGCATAAAAAGCAGCCAAGTAGCCTGCTATCTGTTGGCCATAAATCACACAGTTTATAAGTAATGAATAGAATATTTTAAAAACTAAGAAGTCTGCTGTCAAATCTGGGGTTTTTTTTCTTTTTTCACCAACGGACTCTTCCTTTTCTTTTCTTTCTTTTTTTAAAGAGGTTAGAACATAGTGAGAAATCCAATAACCCAAGAGAGAGAGATTCTTGCAGCAATCAAGACGCATACATTTAGTACAATAAGAATAAGACAAATAGGTTTACTGATCTCATGTATGCAAAACATGAATATTCTCTCATACAAATCAGCCTCAGGTTAAGATAGCATTTACCTGTAAAAGAAGTCAGACCCATGCAAGTAGCAGCTATTGCTACGCTCAAAACTGCGGCAGCATCCTCCATTAACACCACGTTTGTACTGGGATCACAACTCTGTATGACTGAACATGTAATAAAAGTGACATTGATGTTGACATTTTAGCTTGCCCCATCATTTAGCCAAGTGTAGACACAGACAAATGTAAAAGCTTCTACAGTCGTATTTTACAGCCCCTTTCATAAAAAAAAAAAAAACATGCCCTACCTATTATGGAAATTTCCCCAGAAGATCTTAATGGGAAATTTATCCTTAAAAATGCAACTATTTTGGTACTTGGATATTTAAGTATCACCAAATAAGCCAATAAGATTTTATCCAAATTTGTAAAACAAACATGTTATTATATAACATATCAACATGAGACATGTGAAGCAAGAGAAAATAGTTAGCTACATATTCATATTATTGCGGAAATACCACTAATAAATCCTATTTTAAATACGACAGATACTTTACTGAGCTACGGACACATACCATATTGATAAAATGAGAGGCCCTTGGCTCGGGCACTTCTTCGAACTTCATTTATAGCAACAAGAAGAGTAGCTGAAACAAAAGTAATACAGTTACTGAAAATGGTTAGAGGCAAAGTGACATTTATGGTTATGATCTAGGAGGGGGAAGAGACGCTAAAACTCCTGTTCAAAAGTCACAGCAAAAATAATTATAGCTCTCCTGCCGACTATACAAGCAAAAATTCTTTTGGCAGATTATGCACATAAAAGGGTAAACATGTTAAACAAATGCAGTAACTTCTATCCAAAAGAGAGCAAGTTAAAGTATCTGAAGAATTTAAAAATTAAGTGTTATATTTCAAGTGTGTCAAAATACGAAATATTTAGGAATTTTAATTCTGTATCTATATGCCACAAAACACTTAATTTTTAAATTAACAAATATCTATACACTTGCATGCAATAGGTCACCAATAAAGCATACGGCAATCAGCATTTTGAATGGTGGTAATTCATAAAGTAATATCTTTACGTACTAGTCTCTCTGAACACAACATACTGTTGAATTTTCAGTGCCAAAAGGCTCACTGTGCATTTTTCTCAGATTAGTTCCAGAGATTTTATATGTATTCTCCAGTCTACACAATTAATATAACCCAAGAAAATAGAAAATAATAATACTTTTTTCCTTTTGAAGGACAATAAAGCAAAAAACCCCACTAATTAGCACACAAATAAATTGAAGTCAGCAAGTCTTCCTACATATCTAGCAATGCCACTATTAGCAACACAGCTCAGAATTGTTCAGTTCTGGAATTAAAAGCTGAACCGACTCCCGAGCCTGCATTATCAGTTTAAGAATTCCATGACACTGCATACCTCCTTCAGACACCAGCGATCCTGCTAAGATCAAATACGCCTATAAAAAAAAAAAAAAAGGGGGGGGGGGGGGGGGAGAAGGGGAAAAAAGACATTTTAGTACTTCATTAAACTCATAGGTGCATGAATACTTTAATTTCAAAATATCCACAATCATCTCATGTACAAGAATGATTTTACCCATGACAAAAATGCATCCACCTCTAGCTGCAGGATAGCAGCTGACAAAGAGCCAAGTTACAATATACTGAACAATACAAGAAGAGTGGAAAGAAGTGCTGTCTGAGGACAGACATCAGGACAGCCCCAAATGCTCATAAAGCAGATTAAACTGTGATTAGTGTTAAAGCAAAGCAGACAAAAACTTGGTTTTTCAGTTTCATCCTGAACAGCCTCTCAAGGAAACCGCAAATTCTACAGAATGTACTACCTCAGATGGTTGGATTAACCCTGCTGAAATTTAAAATTGACTTTGGGATTCAGAAAGCCTAGATATTTCAGAGTGTAGGGTTACATTACATTAAGCCATACTTGCCACACAAGGTTATAAATATTAAAACAAGATCAACTTACCCAAAGAAGAGATTCTATGGGCTGAGGATGAAGTAAACCTATAATTCCATGATACCAGGAAAGTCCTGCACCCATCATGAAAATGCCAACCCCACTAATTAGGGAAGCAATGTAACGCATGTTGGTGAAACCATATCTAGGCAGGAACAAAAAAATAGTTTAGAAAACATGATACCTGCAACTTTACAATTATATTCTAACAAATCTGACAAGAAAGGAGAAAAGTAGGTGTCTTGATGACTGGCTGCGATATAGCTGAATATCTAAATTAAAGCACAGTTGCTAAAATCAAAATCTTACCAAAGAATACAGCAACCTTATACATTGTTTCTTAAATATGTACTAAGTAGCTTGAATACCATTTATGTTTAGGGTTGTTTTTTTTAAATCCTCTTCCCTACATAAGCTATTCATATTTAGTTGCATTTGTTCAGTATTATGCACCACAGCTACTAATTAAGTTATATTTTTCAAAATGCATTCAAGTGTTTAATGAACAGGACAGCATTTACATTTCCTTGCAATGCTGCTTTTAATTGGAATATTTAGCCTTTATGTGAAGCTGGTCTCCACATTTCATTTCCTTTAAATTAATACTATAAAAAACTTGCTACATGTTCTTTTAATAGTTCAGCTGACTGTGAACCTCCAACAGTTTTCAGTTTGAAACATTTTTGCCGAGAGTTAAAATGGCATTTGAATACACCACTGTACTACATGCCACTCCCACTGTAAATATGACTACCAGCATTGCAAAAATGATGATAGTGTAGACTATAGGAACCATCAAAGAAATGGAGAGGAGTGGAAGAAAGGAAAAAGAAATGAAGGTTAAAGTCTGGTAAGTGTATGCTTAAATCAGAAGACTAAGTTGATGCTATACCAAACTCTTGATTGAAGACCATCTTGTTCAATTTGGTGAACAAATGTTAGTTTGACAGACATATTTTAACAATTTGGAAGGAAACGGATTATCTTCACTGACTGGCTGATTGACACAGGTTTAGGATGACACTATAAAAATATCAGAAAAATTACAGGTTCAAACTTCCACAAGGCTATAAAAAACTTACATTAATTACCCTTTTACTAATATTAAAATGAAGACTAATGTGTTTAAGCCAAGAACCTCTTGTTACATCACATCTGAAATGGAGCATTTCCTCACTGAAAACTCTGTTTTGAAGGTGAAAAGTAGTCTTTTATTACCTTTGGCTAAATCCTGCTGTTCATGCAGGAAAGCAAGAATGTAGTACTATACATCTATTGCTATATATCTACTACTACATATAGTGGAGGGGTGGGGGGGAAGAACAGAACCCATAAAACAAACACTCTCCTTAAAATAAAAGAACACAAAAGTAATGAAAATAAAAAAAAACACACACTTTGTACTCTGTAAAATTATAAGCTAATATGTCAAAGTGAAATTCCTTAAGAGCCATAAGATTTTATAATTCTTGACTTTGGCAAAAGTCCCTTTCTTTTTATTATTATGTTATAGTAAAAGTAGAAACCATTCGTTTCAGATTAGAAAAATGAAAGTTTTAGTTTTATTTGAGTAACGTTTTATCTAAATATATTCCAATTCTGCTGATTAATAGAGTAGAACAAAACCAGAAACAAATTCGGTGTGTCTAAATGTTCATTAATGCACAGTGGCAACTGTGCATTTAATTTAGTACTTGTCTAAAAGTACTAAATTAAGTGCACAGTAACCAGAGTTACTGCACAGTAGCACTAAATGCTTTAGTGACACTACTGCACAGTAGCCTAATAATACTGCGCAGTAGCATATTAGCACTGTTCGTAATGTGATATGCTACTGCACAGGGTTATTAGGATACTACACGGTTAGCATCTCATATAGGAGGTGCCCAGTGCAATCCATCTCATTTTATTTAAATTTGTAATTCTCAACCAGAGTGCCAAAGCACATTGGGGTGCTTTGATGTCCTTTTGAGGGTACTGCAGTGTCACACAATGTTAGCACTTTTTGGTGTGCAAACATTTTTCACAAGAGATTTCAAATAGGAATCCAGAGTTAAACACACTGCCTTGCTGTGGTCTTTCTGAGTTCTTTGCAACAGAAAAAAATTGCTGTTTTTTTCCAAAATCAAAAAAGGAAAGTAAACTTAGGAGCTAACATTTTCTGAAGATTGCCTTGAGTCTAACAGGGTATTCCCAAAGTCTAATGAGGGGTGCCTTGAGTCTAAAAAGTTTGATAACTAATAATGTAAACAGTCTATTTCTCAAACATATTTGTTGTACACAAGTAATAGGAGATGCTTTAAACCTGAATATGATATTTGAAACTTAATTATTTACTCCAGAAGCTTACGGATGACTAGAGTCTGGTGTCCTTGCAGACTGACTGATGCCCAGTGCTAGTAAAGCCTGTATAAAGAAAAAGGGAGGGGAAAAAGTCAGTAGAAAAAAAATATTATGGAGTCTCTGGAGTTCTGGCTTGAAAGGAGATTCAAGCTTGGTTTTTTTGTATATACAGTTCAAGAAACAAAACAACATTAGCTCAAAACAGTAATTTCACAAGAAATATCCTCTCTCAGACAGAACAATGTCAACCAAAAGGAATTCACCTAAATCATTTTAGTTCTAGTTGTAAGAAGTTTAAAGGAATTTAAAACAGAAGTTAAGGGTTTATTTAATATAATAATGAATGTTTTAAAAATCTCTCCACTTAAATTTAAAAATCAGGGAACAAAGGATATACAAGTTAAATATATTTGCTATAAACAGAAATTATGCATGAACTATAAACAAAAATAGTAATTTCCATTACATTTAATGCAATCTGAAGTTAAAGTATCCTGTATTTACATTTCAACTTCCTAACTGTACATTTAGCATTAAGGATTGTCCAACCTAGAAAAAATATGTTAGTATTTCCTACATCTTGAAAATCTGATTGTATAAAAGAATTGATACATTGTGATACTATTAGACACGTATTAAATTCTGGTAGTGCAATCCCTTATAAATCCAGGCCCTTATCCTCCAACGATTAAGCATGTACTTTAAAACACATCAACCTAAACATGTTAAGGAGCTTACGTACGTGCTTAAGTCCTTGCAGTGTGTTTTATCAATATATACAGCTCACTTGTATACGTGGCAAGTGCATGGCATCACTCTATAGCAAGTAATGCATGTACAGGGTAACAGCCATAGTGGTAGAAGTTTGTACCGTTTATCTAAAGCTTTTCTTGGATTCAAAACTTGTCAATGACCCAGGAAAGAACAAAGCATGGGATCTAACATTATGAAATAAAACTTATGCAACTGTTTTTGAAACAGAAGAACATAACATTTGAAGAATTACATAAGTTTTATCTGTTAAAAGGTGTTGATGTGGGAAAGTCAAACCACCACAAGTTTGGAAATGCCAGATCTCTAGTTACCCAGAACTTAATTTCTCCCACCTAACATGTGCATTATGATGCAGTCTTTAACTGGACAATCACATATTATTTGTTCTACATGACCACACCATTGGCGACAAATGAAGCATAAAGGTGCAAGAGAATGGAGGATGTTTTTGTACTTAAGGATGCTCTTGTATCTGGTACATCAGATACCTGGCTTCCCTTCCTGTCTCAAACACTGACTTCCTAGGTACAGATACACAAGATCATTACAATATGTTTGCATAAAGTAGGCATATTCAGTTGCATAGGCAACCTAAATTCTGTGCACCTGACTAACAGCTTTATTTAACATCTGTGTATATTATTTTACTTGGCAACTTGAGAGTTAAAACAACAACAAAAACAAATCAGGGTTTATTTCATAAAGCATGGTTGACACTATGGGGCATTCATAATTTAAAAAGGAAAAATAACTAAAAGGCATTAAAATATTCAGGATTGCCTTAATATCTTAAATGTATGTAAACAAAAACTACAACAGCAGAGGTACTAAGCCAAACTTTACTAGTTAAAAACACAACAGGATTACAAAATTTCCAGCCACACACTGTTCAAAATTTTAGGCTAGAGTGTTAATAAGAATTCAACAATTCTGTCATTAAAGTGGTCTGTCAAATAAATTATATTGATACAGAAAACAAAAATAAAAGATCAAATTACTAAAGCAGTGGGGGCCAACCTTTTTGGCAGGCACGCCACAAACTAACCCATACCGTCCTATACAATCCTCTCCCCCTGCCTGTTCTGCTGCTTTGCTTTCTGCAGTATCTGCTGCAGTGCTGCCTGGTAAAATTTATTTAGTAATGAAGTAACTGAAGCATGAAAACACACCCTACATTTCTCAGGTGTGAAAACAGTCTAATTAAGTTCCTTTGACTGATGAGTGTTGGCAAAGTTGAAATGGCTCCTGAATGTAATAAAAACCTACACTGTTCTTACTAAAGTGTTATCTGCTACTATACTTACTAAGAAAAAGCATGCAAAGCCATAGAAATTAATAAAAAGTGTTTCCTGAAACTTGAAGCAGCAAAAATCATTGCAATATGAAACAGATTAGATCCTGTGAACCAACCATTCAAAAACAGAGATTCTATTTACAATCTAAACTGAAAACTAAAAACATTTTAAAAGCTTCAAATTCTAGTCTCCAGCCTCACCCCAATTTTACAGTGTTATATCATAAAAATGCCCTTAAGGGCTTCCCAAAACAAGCACTCTATCTCAAAAAAATAACGAACAATATACTAATTAAACAAAACGTTACTTCACTTTGCTGATTCCCAAGGCTACTTGTAAGGAGCCCTATCATTTTTTAGCTTAACTAGTTACCGCCACAATTCAGCCAACCTTCTCTGAATAGAGAGCATTATCTATTAATACAACTGCAGAAAAAATGTTCTCTCAATGATTTTAGTTAGTTTTCAAAAAGTTAAATCATGGCAACAAAACAACTACTCACCTGGTTGCAAGTATCTGCTAAAGAATGTATAGCTTCCGAAAACATGCTTGCAGAACCAGTATAAACCCAAGCAAGTAGTTTGAAGAAGAAATTCAACCCATTTCTAAGAAGGAAGAGAAGAAAATCAGTAGTAACACTATAATAAAATTAACATCCGTTGTTTAAAATACTATGAAACCTATTTTTGTATAACCTTGTGTTATCCATCAAAAAGAAAGAAATTCAACTAGAAGCCAATCTGATGATTAGTACTTGTAGTAAAGGTACCTGCGTTTTTTAAATATTTTCTGCATTGAAATATTTTCAATTGAATATAAAAATATAAAAAGATTCAATTAGTTTGAGCAACATATATATTTTCTTTAAATAATTCTAGCTCATAAAGTATACTATCCTGAAGTTATGATTTGTCTGAGGGCCAAGGATATTTGTGATATCTTTTACTGGACCAACTGCATAGTTGGAAGAGCTATTGGACAAGCTTTTAGGCTTCATAAGTCCTTCCTCAGGTTTAACATCAACCTCAAGGGAATTTCCATCAAAATCCTTGCCCCTCAGATGTTTCCTGGACCATTACAGCTACAAGATTCCAATTTCTCTGTCTTCACTTTCAAGACACTGCTCAATGCTTTTGCAGTTTATAAATATTTCAGGGGGATTTCGACCCTCTTTGCCTCCTCAGCAGAGCAGCATAAGCTTCAAAACTGGTTCTCCCATTTTATTCTGAGTTTTCTATATGACCCCACTCAATTCTAGCATAGCATCCTCTGACCCCTAAGTCCCATTCAAATCCTGGCAAACACAGAAGTACAGAAAAAGGGGAGGTCATTAAATTAGAAAAAAAATACAATCTCTATAGCTCTTTCCTTTGGCTGTACTTTCTTTGTGATTTGGAAACAGATTAATCTCACAAAGCAGGCCAAAAGTACACATTTGTGTCTTGTACAGACCAGGAAACTGCTTGAGTTTCTTAAACTTGATTATAAGACTAGACAAGCATCTTTCTGAAAGACATGTTCTACTTCAACCACTAGCTGCCCGAGTTACTGGATTAAATTTTACATGTGACACAGGAAATCAGACTAGAGCAGGAGTGTCCAACTCACCCAGGCCCCCAAGCCAGTTCCTCAGTGAGCCATATGTGGGGCACGAGGAGCCTCGTGGGCTGTATGTAAACCATGCAGCTGTGGCAGAACAAGCAGCAAGGCAGGGGGGCAGAGCAGGGCAATGCAGCCATCACTTGCATTCCTTCCCCTCTCCCTCCCTCGCAAACAACATCCAGCTCTGTAAGCAGGGAATTCAGCAGCAGCCCACTCGCTCCACCCCTAAATTCCCAGCTCCTCTAACAGTCCTGAAGTTGGCTAGCTCCTGGGCCATATCTTTGGTTCTGCCCCAAACTGGAGTATCATAATTGTCCCTCTAACCTTAAGTTTGTCCTACCTAGAGTAAAGAACGCTCAATATTAGACCACTTAGTCTGGTGGGGTTTTGCTTATTTACAAAAAAGTTAAAGAAATGTTATAGCTGTGATTTAATAAACAATGGCAAAAAAGCTGAAAAATAGAAATCCTTATGCAGACACAAATGTTTCTTATTTAGGAATGCATTTATTACTGAATAAGTTATTAATCTTAAGGCTTTCCCTCAGGAACATAAAAGGTTCACATCACTATTATTTAAGTCCCAAGTTGCAATCTTTTCTATAACGCTTTCTATCCACGGATCTCAAATGTGCTTTAGAAACTTTATTTTAGCCTCATAACATCCCTTGAGATAAGGAAGTATTATACATATTTCTCAGACAAGAAAACACACACAAGTTAGTGAACAGTCCAGAGTCACTGTAGCAAAACTAAACAAAATTTCAGTCCTCTGGCTTTAATTACAAAACTGCTCTTCTCATCCAAAGTACAGTGTGGCTTTAGCACATGAAAAATGCATAAATTGCTGTGGAACTCAGGATGACATTTTCCTGACTCTTAAGTATCGAGTCACAGGAGTATACTCCTATGGCGATTTAAAGGAGCCAATCAGTTTGCTTAAATAGGTCATCCAGCTATGCTGTTCCTGACATCCTACAGTGACACAGAGGGTATACATAGTTAAGTGACATCTGACTTCAACCCCCATTCCAACTTTGAGTTTACTGTGAGGAAAAATAAACTTCAGCACTGCTCAATCTGATTACAGAAGTTAAGGTGCAAGGGCCAAACAGAATGGACAAACAACTTATGCTGCCCAAGGGAAAAAATGGAGAGACTCAAAGAGCTACACAACAAAGGGCTGAATAAAACTCTGGGAGAATATGGATCTGTCAAACCGTTTCTTTGGATGGCAAATTTAGATACTTCTATGCTTGGCAGAAAACAGGTAGCTAATAAAATAATTTTTAACAACCTGTTTTCTATCAAGTGTACAAGTATCTAAATTTGCTCCTGGAATTTTATTCAGTTCTTTATTGTGTAGCTCTCCGAGGATAGATTTTAAAATATTGCATCTTTTTTAAAATAAATTTATTCAAGAATAAACCTCAAACTGTGACAAGCTATGTTAAGACCTAAACTTACAATAGTAATTTAAATTAATAAAAGTTATATAAAATATTCAGACCACAGTACAGGCAGCCCCTGCTTAACGCTGTTTTGCTATAATGCTCATTTAAAATTGATACCCGATTCCACCTAGCACTCAGCAAGTTTTGTTATAATGTCCGCAGTCACCATCTTGGGTCATCAAAAACTTTCGGTTTTGCTTAACAATCAGTTTTTCAGAAACCAATTAAGAGCACTAAGTGGGGTTGCCTGTACATTTTTACCGCTTTAAAAAAATCCAGTGAAGTGAGGGAAGCGACCAATTAAATATGTGCAGCCAGAATACACTGAAGTGATAATCTAGGTTCTGGACAACTGCAGCCCCTTCTGCAATGCAGCAGAAATATTTTCTTTAACTCAATTTATTGTTTAATTCAGTTCAATAACTAGCTCATTCGAAGTTGAGCAATGAAACAGAAAGTGAAACATGAAAACTTAAAGTGTACATACAAAAAGCTAAAATTTACTAGTTTTAAGGTCTTAAAAAAAATGACCAGAGACAAAAAACAGTTCAATTCATTAACTTCAGAGACTACTTTCTGTTTAATTAAAAAGTTGCCTTTGAATTTAAAACGTTTTGAGAAACATTTTTTCTTATGTATCCAGTATATTTAACTAATGAATATTTTAGTTCTGATGTTCTAGTTTCCATCCAAAAGGTACAAGTACAAAAAACAAAAACAAAACAAAAAAAACATACACCTTAATCAAGCAGCAAATACAAAGAAAAGTAAATTAGTATTTTCTAACAGTAAAACTTGAAAATTAAGTATCTGAATAAATGCATGCTTAGAATTACAGATGGCGCATCTTTCCAGTGGGCAAAACCAAAAATACTAATCAAATTTAGTGTATTGGCTATCTTTGGTTCAAATCAACATTTTTCATTAGTTACCACTCAATATATTATTTTAGAATAACTAAAAAATACAAATTCAATGCAAGATTAAAATAATAATTTAAAATAAAGTTTACTGCTTGTTGATTTAACTTATTTATGTTAATTGTGATATAAATCAATTGCCTCAATATAAAGGCACATATTTTAAGAAAAATAAGGGACTGCAACATTGGTTTTCACTTTATAAAAACTTCTCTCGACAATTTAAACCCTCATAGAAGACTATAAAAAGTACACACTATGACTGAAGTCAAACTCATATAGATTAATAATGCATTTGAACATTATTAAAAGAGCTGCATATTTCTGTGCTACATTTGAAAATGACTGATCATATTTCTTTTGATCTTTCTTATATTTACTTTTAGAAAAAGAACACACATGATAAATTTCATCTGGATTGGTAAATATTTGGCAAAAAGTTATTCTGCAAACCCCTACAAATGTATCTTTGAGACATGCCATCTCAAACATAACAATGTTAGCATGACAATATAATAATCTTTATGAAGCATGATCATGAAAAATGTATATTCTTAATATCCATTTTTCTTTATTCGGCAAATGTTGGTTTCCTTCCTCTATTTTTTATAATGAAGCTTTAAACAAAAGCCATATTCCTGTGTTTTAGAAGTAAAACAGTTTAGGGACCAGCTACATTTTTAACAGAGTCCTGTACCCCTGGACTGAAAGCTCTAGGCTGATATGTAAACCCATGGTAAAAAACAAAACAAAGCAAAACAAAACATAGAGGAGCCCAGAAGCAAAAGTATTTGTGGAAAAAAAAAAAAAAAAAAAAACAACAATTTTTTCAGGGGTGTGCAACAGTTGGCTTTTCTGTAAAAAAAAAAAAAAAATCACTATCTATCTATATATACCTTGCCCCCAGATACTTTAGATACAGCGGGCACATCTACACATGTGCCCAACTGTGCAGTAACCGCCGGTACGATGCAGTCCCAGCACCGCATGGGTCATTTCTGACCTTACTGCACAGTAGCAACGAGCTAGTACCCTTGTTGCTATTGTGCAGTAGCAGCAGCATAACCATTTGTGCCAGCCAATGCTACATCACCATAGCAACGAGCTACGTTACCATAGCTCGCCACCACAGCAACATAACATCTCATGTAGACATACCACAGAGATAAAGGCTAATCCCATGCAGAAGGCTATACCTCTGCATGGCTGAAGAGGAGAATTATCTCCTTAACCACCACCAAGCTACCAAGTATCTATCTCTACTCTAATATGGAGCTCTAATCTGCAAAGGAGTACACAGTCAGGAATTCAGTAGATAACAAAACATTTGTGGTTATGCTCACTTCTAAGGAAGAGAGGCAGGATCTCTGCATGGATCTCCAATATGGAAAAGCAGGAAGGGAGCAACACTATATAAATCATTTTTTTAGGCATTCTAGAGCACACACTCACAGGGGTGGTTACCGTATAGCGAATGAGAAACTTTAGATAGAGTGGGTAACTATATAATCTACTAAAAGACAGGGAATGGTCATTCACAATCAAATGATTTACTGCCCTTTTCCCCCCCCAAACATACGAAAAGAAGGGCTATAAGAAAACTCCACGAACTATTTCCCCTGAAAGTAGGCTGTCTTTGTAGGTCTGGTATGTTGTGCTCTTCCATAATATCTATGGAAATTAATATTTTTTGGAAATATTAAATTCATTTTTTCTTCAAATAAGATTCACTTAGTATTACCAAAGCATATCTTCTGGCACTCCTCCTCTAGAAGGGCTTTTCTGCGAGTCTTTTATATTACAAGCCTCCTTACTTTTTCAGCTGGATACTAATAATAGTTTTCAGACAAGTTTTCTAATTAAATTTAACTCATTTTTTTATAAAACATTGGGGGGAGGGGTGCGGACGAGATGCGCAACAAAACCTTCCTTATGAAAAATTCAACACTTCCATATTACCTGATAGGATCTTTGAGAAATCCACCAAATGTGCAGGAGCATTTTTTCTGCCAACTTAAAATTCTCGCGCACAAGTAACAACGTGTTTCTAAACACAAAAAGAACCTCATGTATGGTACAGAACATATGAAAGGGAACAAGCTAGATGTGTCCAACTTAGCAGTCCCTCTTCAAAAATTTTGGTTGCTATTTCAAGTATTAATTGTTTGGCTGACCAACTTCAAAAAGACTAGCCATTCTTTGATCAAGGATGGAACAAACCTCTCTTATCTCCACATAAAAGAGAAGGCACTTGTAAAAAGAAGGTAACCTGCTTACCAATACATTGCAAATATATCCGTACATTCCAACTGATATCCGATTTAGCACACCAGATTAGCCTATTCAAACTCTTATTTCATTACATGATTTCTTTAGCAGAATTTTGCTAAAACTAGGAAAAATCATTAGAGATTACATGAAATGAAAAACACGTTTTAAAATGAGGATACACCACCATAAAATGTATCACTTATTTTGAATATATTTTTAGTTTATGATATTCAACAGAATAATAGAAATGTACTGACACACACCTGCTAAAGTAAATCTTAAGAGATGTTATTGCAGTACTTCATTATTTTACAGAAAAAGGAGAATAAAGCAATGCACTTCAGGTCCCAAAGAGGGACCCTAAACCTGAAAGGAAGCTATTAGTCTTTGTACTTTTGGAAGTCAAGCCATTTAAGGCACATACGTTTAACACTCTGGACTCCTCTTAGAGAAAGCTTACTTTCTACAGCACAATTCTGCTGCAGTTACATAACCACAGAATTGTAAAGAATATAAAAAACTATAAACTTAAATGTGTAGACTACTTCCATTCTTAAGATATACTATTTTTATACTTGCTGTACAAAAACTTCTACTTTTTCACACTTACATGCATATAGCCACCATCACCACCTTTCCTGGTCCCTTGAACATCATAGCTGCTGTGCTGGAGCGTGGCTACACAAAGAAATAAGGGATGCTTAAAATAGATTGTTACATTGAATCAATAAAGCAGTAAAAATAGCTAAATATCAACTGCATGAAGGGTCTTCAGTACAACTCGTATAGTTAGAATATCATTTAGTACCACAATTCTTAAAGGAGTTGAAGGTCACTTCTGAATAATATACCATATTTACTCAATTAGACAAGGCTTTCCCCCCCACATACACATTTAACATGAGGGGAAAAGCCCTCTGCCTTGCAATCAAGCAGGAGGCAACCAGGGAGCAGGCAGCTGCTGTGGCTCCAGCTGATGCTGGAACCAGAGCAACAACTGATCCCTGCCCCACTCCACTGCCTCTGCATGTCCTGCCACTCCTCCTGTGCAGCCCCTAGTGCCCCCCACATTCCCCACACTACACCTTATCCCCTCTGCCACACTCTTACCTTTGCCCTGCACCAATGAGCTCCACACCTACTGCAGCCTGGGGCACAGAGCATGGCTCCAGCCCAGCCTAGTAGCAGAGGCATATTACCAGCACTGCTGTTCTAGCCCAGCCCTGTAGCAGCAGCACTGCTTCTACCAAGTCAGGCTGAAGCCATGCTCCATGCCCCAGGCTGCAGCAGGGATGGAGCTGCCAGTGTGGAGCAAAGGTAAGGGGGAGGAGATGGAGCAGAGACCTGAGACTGTGGGTGGCAGAAGCAAGGTGGGGAGGAGGGACAGGGGAGAGAGGAAGTCAGGGCAACCTGAGGCTGCAGGCAGGGAAGGGGAGAGGCAGCATGGGGCAAGCTATCTGCCCCTCTCCCTGCCTGTCCCACGACCTCTACACTGCCTCCCACACGTGCCCCACCCCCC